AAAAATAAGATAAGAAACCACAGGGTACTTTCAGCGAAAGGGAACGGTTTTCAATTAAAAGGGAAAACTATAAATGTTCAATTAAAAATGTGACTACATGTAACTAGCGAACTCTGTTGGAGAACCATCAAACTGGATCACAGGGTGGAGCAGTTTGAATGGGGAAGATCGAATAAACTTGAGAACCAATGAAAAATAAGATAAGAAACCACAGGGTACTTTCAGCGAAAGGGAACGGTTTTCAATTAAAAGGGAAAACAATAAATGTTCAATTAAGAATTTGACTACATGTAACTAGCGAACTCTGTTGGAGAACCATCAAACTGGATCTCAGGGTGGAGCAGTTTGAATGGGGAAGATCGAATAAACTTGAGAACCAATGAAAAATAAGATAAGAAACCACAGGGTACTTTCAGCGAAAGGGAACGGTTTTCAATTAAAAGGGAAAACAATAAATGTTCAATTAAAAATTTGACCACATGTAACTAGCGAACTATGTTGGAGAGCCATCAAACTGGATCACAGGGTGGAGCAGTTTGAATGGGGAAGATCGAATAAACTTGAGAACCAATGAAAAATAAGATAAGAAACCACAGGGTACTTTCAGCGAAAGGGAACGGTTTTCAATTAAAAGGGAAAACAATAAATGTTCAATTAAGAATTTGACTACATGTAACTAGCGAACTCTGTTGGAGAGCCATCAAACTGGATCACAGGGTGGAGCAGTTTGAATGGGGAAGATCGAATAAACTTGAGAACCAATGAAAAATAAGATAAGAAACCACAGGGTACTTTCAGCGAAAGGAAACGGTTTTCAATTAAAAGGGAAAACAATAAATGTTCAATTAAGAATTTGACCACATGTAACTAGCGAACTATGTTGGAGAGCCATCAAACTGGATCACAGGGTGGAGCAGTTTGAATGGGGAAGATCGAATAAACTTGAGAACCAATGAAAAATAAGATAAGAAACCACAGGGTACTTTCAGCGAAAGGGAACGGTTTTCAATTAAAAGGGAAAACAATAAATGTTCAATTAAGAATTTGACCACATGTAACTAGCGAACTATGTTGGAGAGCCATCAAACTGGATCACAGGGTGGAGCAGTTTGAATGGGGAAGATCGAATAAACTTGAGAACCAATGAAAAATAAGATAAGAAACCACAGGGTACTTTCAGCGAAAGGGAACGGTTTTCAATTAAAAGGGAAAACAATAAATGTTCAATTAAAAATTTGACCACATGTAACTAGCGAACTCTGTTGGAGAGCCATCAAACTGGATCACAGGGTGGAGCAGTTTGAATGGGGAAGATCGAATAAACTTGAGAACCAATGAAAAATAAGATAAGAAACCACAGGGTACTTTCAGCGAAAGGAAACGGTTTTCAATTAAAAGGGAAAACAATAAATGTTCAATTAAGAATTTGACCACATGTAACTAGCGAACTATGTTGGAGAGCCATCAAACTGGATCACAGGGTGGAGCAGTTTGAATGGGGAAGATCGAATAAACTTGAGAACCAATGAAAAATAAGATAAGAAACCACAGGGTACTTTCAGCGAAAGGAAACGGTTTTCAATTAAAAGGGAAAACAATAAATGTTCAATTAAGAATTTGACCACATGTAACTAGCGAACTATGTTGGAGAGCCATCAAACTGGATCACAGGGTGGAGCAGTTTGAATGGGGAAGATCGAATAAACTTGAGAACCAATGAAAAATAAGATAAGAAACCACAGGGTACTTTCAGCGAAAGGAAACGGTTTTCAATTAAAAGGGAAAACAATAAATGTTCAATTAAGAATTTGACCACATGTAACTAGCGAACTATGTTGGAGAGCCATCAAACTGGATCACAGGGTGGAGCAGTTTGAATGGGGAAGATCGAATAAACTTGAGAACCAATGAAAAATAAGATAAGAAACCACAGGGTACTTTCAGCGAAAGGGAACGGTTTTCAATTAAAAGGGAAAACAATAAATGTTCAATTAAGAATTTGACCACATGTAACTAGCGAACTATGTTGGAGAGCCATCAAACTGGATCACAGGGTGGAGCAGTTTGAATGGGGAAGATCGAATAAACTTGAGAACCAATGAAAAATAAGATAAGAAACCACAGGGTACTTTCAGCGAATCGCTGAAAGCTAAGAGGGTTGGAGATCTTTGACTTTGTCGATTCGCGCAAGCCCGGTACTAAGTGGTAGCCGATGAGCTTCTAAAGTGGTACCCAGAAGGTGGTTCCTTTCACTTATTTAAGCAGATGTTGAGGCCAGTTAACTTATATGTCCAATATTGTGATGAGAATATACCGCCTCATCTCGTTATTATCCCAAAGCAAGATATTCATGTATGATAATCAACATTCATAGTAGATACACTACTATTCACTTGAAATGAACGGCAACCAACTTGTTGAACAAGCTGGGATCTCCCATGGTTTTGTTACTACTGACCATCTCATCACAATACAATATTTCCCTCTATTCACCATTTATACAAAGAAGGAGATGTTTTAGATGTGAGTATCCACCTCATGCATATAGAAATTATCCTGCAAATGGAGAAATATGTTCAAAATGTAAAGTTAAAGGTCATTATTCCTAAATATGTAGTGTTAAAAGTTTAGAAATTGACCATGAAACTTTGGCTAACTTAGCTGAAAATATACTACATAATTTTTAAAAGATTACCTTTCGGCATTTCCAGTGGTCCAGAAATTTTTCAAAAAACTTTAAAGAATATATTTTTTGCAAGAAGGCTTGAACAATGTGCTTGTTCATGCGGATGATATTTTGGTTAAATGACGTACAATTTCTGAACATACCTAATGAAAGTTTACAGAAAGTTATGATAATTTTACAAAAATATGGACATTAAATTTTAAAAAATGCGAAATTGGTATAAAAAAACTTAAGTATTTGGGAATATGTAGGTATAAGGCCAGATAATTCAAAACTGGTTTGAAAATTTGAAACAGGAAATTATTTCCAGTTCTCGCTTATCAGTAGTAATATAACAAGTGCAATGAAAATTATCGATAATTTTTGGGAAATTTGCCTGAATGCATTTTTAGTTGAAAAGCTTGAATGCCTTTTTCAGATAAAAACGCATGATTGCAAATTTTTCAAAAATTATAGATTTATTTTCATTGCACGAGTTATTTTTTTAAAGAAAATTTCCTGAATCATTATAATTGTTCACAGTATTTTACTGGGAGCCTTGTTTAAAACAATCATTATGTTAATGATCTAAATTTCGTCCACAATTCAGATTTAGGGTGCTGATAATTTGTGTCTAATTTACTGTGTACAAACCTGGTAATAACTCGTTGAGTGAGGTAAAAAATACCAGAAAAAAATTATCGGCAATTAGCACTTGTGCAAATTATCGATAATTTGCACTTTAAGCAAAATTATCGGGGATAATACCACGAGAGCTTCAAAATTACCGATAATTTTTCACGATTGCGTGTTTTCTATAATTTGCAGAGAAAACACGCATGAGTGAAAAATTATCTGGTTCATTTTAAAACTCAAGTGGTATCTAGAGGATTATTTCACGTATGAGAATGCAAAAAATATGGAAATAAATATGTATTAAACGATTTGAACATCTTAACAATCAATACAAATAAATGGTTGCTATCAGGAACCATTTGTTTGTATCAAAAATTAACATGACAACCATGTATACAATAACATGGGAGAATTATCGCTGTAATTTTCTCTAGTTAAACAAATGGGAAAGAGAATTTTCGCTGTAATTCTGAAAATCGTAACTTGTCTTATGGGATTTCTAACACATGAGTGGAATAATCGAATGTAATACCACAAGAGGTTTTAGGATTACCGGATAATACTTTTACCTGTCACGAAACGCGTTACGCAGCAACACCACGACTCCGAAGGAGGAGTGGTGTTGCTAGTAACGCGTTGAGTGTCAGGTAAAAGTATTAGGTAATCCTGAAACATCGAGTGGTATTCAAAAGGTTATACAATGAACTAAACTATAATACTTTAAAATTAAAAAAAAAAATCTATAACAGAATTTGTCATAAATGCCACCAAGCGTGATAATCCCAAAAGGCTTATCACTTTTTAAGCCTCTCATGTCATATGGGAATAATGTACAGTGAATTGTATAATCGATGTAATTCGCTTCCTATTGGTCCAAAATTGCCAGACGCCTCTGTATTTTCACCTGAATATTACCTGAAGGAAATTTTCAGACTAATTTTCTTAACAGAATGAGTACAGACGCTAGTGCATATGGGATTGGAGGAATGTTGGAACAACAACAAGAAAATGGATTATGGAAACCTGTTTACTTTTGTTTGAAACCTTTAAGTGAGGCAGAGAGAAGATATGCACAAATTGAAAAAGAAACATTATTAACCTGGACAACGGAGAGGTTAGAACAATTTTTGTTTGGAAGAAAATTTACTGTAAGTACTTACTAATCACAAACCTTTGGTAAGAATACTGAAAGATAAGCCAATTGGCCCATGTAGATGTAGAGTATGTTCCTGGAAAAGAGTTTAATTGTCCAGATGCAATATTAAGAAGTCCTTTAGATGAAGGTCAAAATGATAAAGATATTATATTAACAAACGTCTCCATTATAGAGTCAATATCAAATGAATGTTGACACATGGTTAGAATTTAGTACAACAGAATTTCGACAAGACCAAGATGAAGTTTTAAAAACGGTAAAATCATACATTTGTCAGTGAATGGGCTTCTAAACAAGATTGTCCTGAGAAATGTCTGATCTATTACAAATGTAAAGAAAATTTTGCTGTAATTGACGAAATTTTAGCCCAGCGTACTTTTAATAAATTTTTTAAGGTTATGATTGGATTTGTTCATTGAAAAACACGATAAAATTTCATGTCATTAATCCATTTATGCCGTAATATGAGAACTCCGAGTCTATAAAACCGTCAGACGAAAATAGAGTTCTAAAATAAGTTTAAAAAATTGATCCTTACCTAACCTCGTCGTCCGCCATTGTGAAAGGTTTTGTTGTTCTGAAAATTGAAAAAAACAATTCAAGTTAATTTCGGAATTAACAAAGCATTTGCACATTTGTTTATTTAAAATACGAGAAACTTTAATCAAAAATAATAAATCGAAAACTAAAGTATGTAAGCATAAATGAAAATGAAACTTTCCATAAGAATTCGCAGGTTGAATCGAATTATTATTAAAGTCAGATAATTGAAAAATAAAAATAATCAAGGTTGCAAAAAAAAACCTAAATTATTATTTGTTAACCCTTCGTATTTCGAATATAATAGCGAAACCGTACCGGGTGTATTTTTAGAAACGAGATGAACTGAAAACGCACGATCCCGAAAATAGAATCTGGATCGCGTCCAGGAATTGTGTTGCACACGGTCACCTAATTTGGTTTCATCGGCAAACAAATTTTATTTTTTCACTCTGGTGGGTGTTATGTTACAAACCGAGATTTCTGTATAGGTGGTAATTTTTGATCATGATGTTGCAAAAATATAGAAAATTCCTATACAAATGAATCATCTAATATATATTTTTGCTCGTCAAATTCAAATATTGTGATTGTTCTTTGGGTGGTTCCAAGTTGTTTCAAAATTTTTTTCTGTCTGAGAATAATTATTATCCCAGTTCCAAAGTAAGCACAACATCATTAAATAATTTCAATATAATATTATATTAGTGAAGCAATTTGATGTGTAGGTACTTTATTGCTGTGATGAGATGAAAAAAATGTTAATTTGAGCCACCCTCAACCACCCACGCCTGCACGCTGGAAAAAATAAGTAGGTACCTATTATGAACGGAAAATATTCCACTACTAGTACCCTATAGCAGTTAAAAAAATGTAAATGTTATCTGTAAGTGTAGGAACCCTCTCACCAAATATCCAAACCTCAGGTTTCACTAGATCACACCAGAAAAAAATCACTTAATAAAATCACTATATACTTGTAGCACTATTATAGGAAATTCCAAAATGGCCAAGCTCTCCTTACATAAGACCAATATTTTTCAAAAATTTAGACGTACCTGTTTTACCGATGGAAAATATGAGCAGCTTCTCAGGGGTGCCTGTGCTGACTGTCTAGTTTTCCCTCCACGAAATTTTCACCAGGGCGTCAGAGATCAGGGTTCCCCCACTTTTTGAGTAGGTGCCACGTTCTGCAATTACTCGAAAATTAAATTTGGATCAGACTACATTATCCGAAAATAAATCTCACACGGAGTGGAAAAATAAAAGAAAATCCCAAGTCGCGAACACAGTGTTTTTAGTGAAACCAATAAGGACGCGACCTGCCTACGAATTTAGATCGCTTGATGCTCGAAATAGGATTTACCGAGACTTGATACTGTTTTTCGTTTTTTTTTTTTTTTTTTTATTAGTTTTAGGACCCGATCTATGAATATTATAATGCCTAGCCTAATGGGAACATACGAAATTGTCTTTGGTATGGTGTTAAGCAATTGGGGTGATTTATCAATTTTTCAATTATTCTGAGTGCCTTTTCCATAGATTTCGGCTTCAAATCTGAGAATAATTTAGTGTATGGAGTTTGGGGTATTTTGATTGACCATTAGGAAACAAAATCTCGACAAAAAAAAAATTGAAATTTCATCGTTTTAGTAAGAAGGTACTCCCCTTTTGATTTTTTTGGAAAACTTTGAAAGGTCATAACTTTTTTTCTATCATAGATAGAAAGCTGAATCTTTCACTGAATTTTATCCCTTTCAAAGGACTACAATCCCTGAAAATTTCAGCTCATTTGCACTTATAGTTCCTGAGATAAAATCGTGTTAAGCAATTGAGTTGATTTATCAATTTTTCAATTTTACTGAGAGAAATTCGAAAAAAACAAAAATTGATCGATTGCCTTATCAAATATAGTGGATTTGTGCCTGATATAGATATAACTTAATTAAAAAGACCTTAGCATCTTATAGGTATTGAAAACCACATGAAGAATTGTGATTTACGAGCATATTTTTCTCATTTCATTGAAACAACGTTGTATATCCATGTCGGTTACAACGTTGTTTCATGGAACTAAGGCGGTTACAACGTTGTTTTAAGACTAAAAACAAACTAGGGCGAGGTTGCACTTGAAACGTTGTTCCGCAAAAAGGACAAACTAGACCAATTAAAATGGCATCAATAACCCATCAAAAAAAATCCTATGCCCACACTATTAAGTAGGCGGATTATCCAGGGTACATACAACGTTGTTTCACGAAAATACCGTTTTTACACATATTGCCGTTTGCAACGTTGTTCCAGCATTGATTGCAAACAGTATTTCTACAATCTTTTCTCAGAACATTCTCAGGACATTTGCAATGGTTTTGGCGAACATTCTAGGCACATTCCTCCTAAAAAAAGAACATTCTTAATACATTCTAAGGATGCAATTTTGTTATGTGGGAATATCATGAAAAGTAGTTCAATTAATTAGTTATGGATTCAAGATTTTATAACATTTTTTTGAAATTATGCTTAAACACAATTTAATACAATTTTTTATGTTTAGTTTTATTATTTTTTTTTACGTTGCACTACATTCAGTCACAACCGACAACAGCGTATTCGAACCTTTACGTATACTTGCTGTGCTTTTACAGAGCGCAACATAGCCGAGCCGGTCAGCTTCTTGCAAGAACATGAGCAAAATGGAAAATATTTATGTGACGTCAGCGAATCGGCGCGTTTTAAATGATTTTGAATTTTGCGAGTTTCAAATGCCTGTAAAAAACTTATTTAACCTTGTGGAATTTTTTTTTTTTGGTATATGTATATGCCTAAAATAGTACCTTTTGTTGATTTCTTTAAAATAATGAGAGTGGACTGTATTAATAATATATTTACATTTATTTACACACACGACTATTTACACTATTTACAATTTGCATTTTCTCGTTTTTGTTTACGTTTTTAGACTTATAGAGTCTGTAAAAATGGTCATATAGGACCTGCCCAGAATTATCTGGTGCGCTCGGTGAGGTTCGATTCGACACTGACTGTTCCCGTTGGTTCACTCGCGTAGATGCCGGAAGCCACTTTACCAAAAACTTTGACAAGTGATTTTTGACACTGTTTGACACATACGCGCACACTTCCGGTACATACCGGGAAAATTAAAATTTGAATTTTAAATTTACTGTTGGAATATTGTTTCCAACAATATATGCTAGTCCTGCTACTAAACAAGTCGATGTTTTTAATATAGTGGGCTTTTATATTTTATATTATAAAAATTAAACGCCAGCAGTTGGCCTTCCATCCTCAAGTGGCCCGTAGGACATGACCTAATTGTCCTAACGGATAAAGTGTCCCTGATTCCTTTGACTCGGGACATTTTTACCGACAAGAAATGGAAAACCAACGAGTGACAAATAATTGTACAAGTAACCCACTCACACGATATGGCAAGTATACGCAAGTTACGATTATTCGCCAAGTACACGAGTCGTTTGAGCCCGGCTTAACACGTCGTGTGAGCGCCCTGCATGCCATCGCAATTCGCAAAGCTCGTATACTTGCCAAGTAACCGAATAATTGTGTATTCGCCAAGTACACGAGTCGTCTGAGCCCGGCTTAAGAAATTATGCAACTAAAGCGCAGAATCGTGACGGCACTTAGTACGGTTTTCTGCTGTGTTGGAACAAAGCTCATATTAGCTCATTTCCAGTCGATCAATCTATTTGCCAATTAGGATAAACGTTCAACCTATTATTGTAAAATAGGTGGGCAACTGGAAATAACCGTTCCAGAACGGTTCTCATGGCCGTTGGAACGGAGCTATTGACTGCGACAGCTTGTCAGCCTGGATGTGTAGCCATGTCGTAGCAGAACGCTAAACGTTATTAGTTTTCCCATTTCAAATATTTTCGTCCGGAAATTCCCACGAAAAAGTTTTCCCACGAGTTCAGAGAGTTGGCATCACTGTTTCCATGGTTCTTGGTTTCGATTCCAGATATCAGTAATTTCGCGTTACGTAAATAGGATATTTTTTTATGTAAAATAGAAAGTTTGTAGGTAGGTACCTATTAACCAAAATCGCAAAAAAATATTTTTACCGAAAAATTCTATATACTAGTGCTAAATTTCGGGGGGGGGTTTTAACCCCCAAACTCCCCCCCCCCCCCACTGGATATGATAATAGACAAAAACTATAACTGCTATTTCTAATAGTTACTGGCTAATTAAGAAGTGCGGCAATTTCATAAACAACCGTGTTATTTAAGTGATTTTTTTTTAAAACCACCCAATACTCTCTGGATCAAAACAGCATACATTTGAGCCTCGTCCAAGAATACTTCAATTACTTTGTTGCACAGACAATTTAGGCTGTTGAAATAAATCCATTCTCAGTTTTCCAAATAATGGTTAATTTACTTTAAGCAGTTTATTTTTTATTCAATTTCCTCAATAATAGGTACAGTTGAATACCTGGAAAGCTGTTCTGCAAAGAATTCGTTCCCTATTCAAAATTGAAAAACTTTTCATGTTAATCTTATGGGTTAGTTGTTTTTTTTTTTAAAATATAGATCCGACCATTGCTTTTTATAAGTATCATTGGAAATATGTTTTTGCTGAAGCACAAATTAACTAACTTGGTGAACAGATATCTATTAATACTTGAGCTATTGAAAATATAGGTTTTTAATAAGATTCATACTAATCATACCAAACAAAAATCCTTGATGAAATCAATCACTAAAACAGCATGCAACATGCATAAAAAAATGATCTCACAGCTTTTCATTTCTTCTACAGGATCTTTTTTCATGAAATCATTTTGCTCTACACTAATTTATCTTCATGGCTATTCCAGAAAACTTTAATTCATTCTTATTGGATAATTATTGCCTCAGGGACCTTTTCGAGTTACGTCAAAATCGAAATCACTGAAAAAAACATTGACATTTATTTTAACATAATGAGTTAGTGAAAGAACTGGCTACTACTGTGGATTGCATGTTGAGCCAATTTGCGTAGTCTTCCATAATTATTATAATTTTTTTAACCTTCGCTTTTGCATTTTAACAAGAAATTCATCCCGTGTCGGTGGCTATTTTTGTTTGTTTTTTCCCTCTCCCCGCGTCTTTTGCCGCATCCCGATTCATCCCAAAAAGCCAGAATGGAAGTCCCGTCCCGTGTCCTCGAAGCCTGCGAAACGGGGCATCGCACCCTGCGACTGACCCAATTTCACCCCGTTTTGCAGCGGCCCGATGACGTCACGTTTTGCGTCATTCCGCCGATTTCCAGAATGAAATATTTGCCGGTGTGCCGTTTCGCTGTGAAGAATATGGATCGAGAGCATACACTTCAATGGATAATTTAAACGTTATTGTATCCAAATTACATAAAAATATTCATGCTTTAAACATTGTTTTAAGATTAATCCTACATGTCTTGGCACTGGTTCAAATACGGGTCCGTCCAAAATTCGCCTCTCGGCTGTCTATTTTAGAAATGTTTATTATAAACATATTCCTGCATCGGTCATTAGAAATAGGATAACTAACTCGGTCTATTGTGCTTTGCAAACGATAAAGAAAATAAAAATAAAATGCTAGAAACAAGTAAAGATAAAATGTTTAATCTTCAATATCTTAAGGAATCTTTTGATTGGTTATATTCTTTCACCAATGAGTCCTTCAATTAAATATAGCTGTTGCGTTTTGAAACAAAATAGTGAAGGAAAATCTCCAATTAATCCTAAAATAGATTGTAAATTCTACAGACGAGACAGGAGGGTCAATTATTGTGGGCGTACATTATTTGGGACTAGCAATTCTCTCACCGATTTCAATACCTACCTATAGTGGCTATATTCCTTTTAATTTTGGTGAAAACGATCATCAAATTAATCGTTACAGAAGTAGAGGGCAACTGAAACTGTCTTCCTAAGGTAAGCCATTATAACTGTAACTATGAGTATTATAACTATTTTTGAGCTATCAGCTTTAGCTCTATTAGCGCATTGAGCAGTTTGATCCTCAATATACCTTTTTTGTTCTGGTGCAGATTTATGCCGTCCTTCTGTTCTTTTTAAATTGCTGTCAGTCTTGCTGCAGGATAGCTTACTATGTACTCATACCCAACACCAAATTATTCAGTTCAGTCAAAATCACTTATTTCTCCGTTTCTTTTCTCTATTCTAAATGCGTCTGGCCTTGGACTCTTCGTCCACCTGTTATCTGAAAAAATAACGTTTAAAATATTTGGATTGAACTCTTTCTGTCTTTTCCTTAACATCATCCAGCCAACAACTTTGAATATACCTACTTACACTCTTAAAACGATGAAATTTCAATTTTTTTGTTCTTTAGGACCCCCCAAACTCCGCTTAACGCGATTTTATCTCTGAAATTATAAGTCCAAATGACCTGAATTTTTCAGGGATTGTAGTTCTCTACTGGGATAAGAATCGCTACAAGAGAAAAGTATGTTAATTTAGCAGCCTCTGGACCAATCTCGCTTGCTATAACCTCTAACAGCATCCATATCAATTCCAAGAAATTTGTTACAGTTATTAATTTCAAAGGTTTGTCTTGTATATTTAAATTGGAAGAAAGAAGCTAGGCATCACACCATTACTTAATCATTACTAAATCTTCTGATCTAATTCTCATTAGGGATTCATACTATATAGTTAGGGAAACGACCGCATTTTTCCTACCCCGACCGAGTTATGTGTCGGCACTATTATCAATATATAGTATTATGTGCATCTATTAACCAGTATTCCTGCCTGAGAGCAAATGCTGCCGGAAATATCTTTTAACAAATTATTAACAAATTGAAAAAAACGTAACACTACCCCCATCGAGTTATGCCCTAAGTAGGGAATCAGATTGAAGGTCTCGATGTCCCCTATCTAAAAAGTCGATCCTGCCTCTTGAGAACTTGCCGAAAAAGGGTGGCAGGGCAGCTTATTGGGGCAAGGACCCGCGGTCTCAGCTTTGACACCTATCAAGTTTTACCCTGAATGATGTTTCAAATTAAAGGTGTTAATAAGTTGATTTAAGGTCTCTTCGCACAGAAATCCCAAACCAGAAGGAGACTAGCGTTTAAATTCTGGTACAGGCAATTGGGTACCGACCAATAAGAACAAAGCGATTTGACGTTACATTTTAGAGGTTATGTTATTTGTTATTTTGTATGATATTGCCGGTCGGTATGTGTTTGCTATTATCGCTCTTTTCGCAGTTTTCAGTTTTCGCTCTGAGTTGAAATTTTGTATTTTGACGATTATATTAATTATTCAATTAATAAGGATAAACACAATATACCTACAAGCAGATATGGCTAATTTTGAGTGCAAAAAATGTTTGCGTACGTACCTTCAATTTAAGACTCTAAGGTAAATTCTGGCGTAGTCTGTTTTTATTATGTGAAACAAGAAATATTTATTTGAAATATTTTTAGGAGACATAGGGTGAAAGTACCTGTTAGCCGGCCACCCCCTGTTGTCGGACACTTTACGACAAAATATCCAATAAATAGGAAAATATTATATCAAAACCTTTTTTAAAGTAATACCTACTTTCAGACACTATTTCCCCATCAGTTTTTGTAATACTGCCCTTTTTACGGGCCTAGATCAAATTTAAAAAAATAATAATATGTCGGCTGTTTTTCCCAACACAGCCCTTTTGATCAAGTGAAAAAATTTGCTAGTGTGAAGCTAAGAAGGAAATAGTAAGTAAAAATGTTCCTACTCCATTTTTCGATACTTTCTTGATGTTTTTAAGTTTTAAACATGTTAATTTACAATTATAAACATAAAAATTAAATGAATATTAATATTTTGTTTATTTTATTAAATGTCCGGATAACCGGTCCTATAAATCGGCAGACTCCTCTTCTCGGCCACTCTGTCCGACAATTGGTCCGGCACGTTGAAACTATATGTATCTTTTTCTAGCTTATTTGATTTCCAACTTAATTTTCCTTATTAGTTACATTTAGACGACTGTATCGAGATTCTATGGACCAGTTTGCGGACACTATAAACCACAGAGGCGTCAAATTGTAGTATACCTGAAAAAGTGTCCGAGAAAAGGTAGGTGTAAAGTTCTCGGACATTTTACATTACTTAT